CCTACCTACCTACCTACCTACCTACCTACCTACCTACCTACCTACCTACCTACCTACCTACCTACCTACCTACCTACCTACCTACCTACCTACCTACCTACCTACCTACCTACCTACCTACCTACCCTGTTAGCACCCTAGCTGCACTAAGATACATTCATCCGCGTAACGCCCTCTAAACTGTAAACTGTCAGGCATGAATTTCAGTGCAACTGTGTCTGGCCTGCGAAAACAAACTGCATTCCCTAACTTTAGGGATAACATGCAGTCACTGGTGGTCCAACATTCTTAACTATAATCAAAGGGATAACTGCCTCCTGTCCATTGGTTGTGTTTGGGAAGGGGTGACAGATTTTCCAAAGAATATCATCTAGGTAATCACTGCTTCATTCAACTCCCTCTTTGAGAATTCAAACAACCTTCACATTTTATAATCGGCTATAGTCCCTTTGGTAGCTTAAGTCATTCATCTCCAGCATCGGTGCTCATGCTGTCAGTCTAGCTTCTGACATTTTTGACAGGAAGGGACTCTGACTTGTGACAGTGGACTGGAGAAACTATTCGATCAGATCTATTGAACCATCAGATGAACAGTGTGAATTTTGAGCTATGGCCTGCGCTTTCTGCCAAAGAGCCCATGCCTACTGCAGGGCTGTACGGGGTCACATCGAGGTCCATCCATACTCCCACTCACATTCATACTTACTGAGACTTTACTTTGCCAAGGCTGCGAGTCGCTCCACATGTGACCCAGAGAAGAGTCCATTTTTAATGTATTGCAGATATAAATGATGGAAGACTTGTTTGAAGGCTTGCAGCTCAGAAAGGGTGTATACGGATTCACGTTGGGATTGATACTCTGTGAGTCTGTCACACATCTCCCAGATTTTACAATTTCAGCACACGGAGTGAACAACTTGTACCGAGGCGGACGGAGGGGTGAAGTGAGGGTTAGCCTAATGCTGTCTCAGTGCTTTGTGAGGCACTGACTGCCTTGTTGGTCTCCTTTGTTCTGCGGGGGCTATTTTTAACTTTGCATCAAGCCAATTCATTTACATGCGACATGCATGCTTTGATCCGTCTTTAGTGCAGAGCTGCTCTTTAGCTCTTTCTCCCTTCTTCTTTTTAATCTTCCCCTCTTTCATATCTTCCAAAGGCCATCTTGTCATGTACAAAAAGTCAGCAGTAAGACACATAGCACGCAAGAAGTCTCTCACATGATAGATTTACAGATGAATCGTGCCGTTATGGCGTTTACGTCATTGTTACACATTATCGATGATAATTGATTGATTTGGACAAGCTGGAGGTCTATTTTTGTTTCCAGGTTCCGGCTTTCTTATTATGAACCCCATGTTTTTTTTCATTATTATTATGTTTTTATTGTCTTCAGTTTTTATTTTGTCAGCCTATTGTTATATTAGTTGTGTTCAACAGCAAAGGATTGTGAGAGTGCTTCACTGATGGATAAGACGCAAACCTGCCTTGAGCGTCCAGATCAGGGCACAGAGAAGTCTGTGGGAGAAAAGAAGAATAGAGTGTTTTAGTTTTGTTCTCTCTCAGAAAGACTGGTGCTCTTAATTATTCATCAGCAACTACAGGCAGCTCCGCTGGCTCTGAAACAAGAGCCACTACTCAGCAAATACTGGAAATAATTCCCGGAATCCAAAATGTCTTGCTAAACAGCTTGTTTGTGAGCATGTGTGTGTGTGTGATGTGTGACAGCACATTGCTAAGCGTGGCCGTATGCATGCTTGTCCATCTGTGAGTGGAAGCATGATCCTGTGCAAGTTTGTGCACGCATGTGAAGAGTTGTTTTCTGTTATCAGTCCCGTCGCTCCTTGGAGAGGCCAGAGAACTGGGTCACTGCACTCCGTGCATTTGGCTTTGGATTCGTACTGTACTAGCACACAGAGACCACATGCACACACATAGCATTAAATGTGGCAAACATTCAGCTGGATTTTTATCAACTGCGTAAAGGAAAACTATTTATCTCTAAGAATTATCGTGTGATCTCAGCACCCAAATCCCTCCATGGCAACCTTTCTTTTTTTTTTATTCCACTAAATGATTACATATCTCCCTGCGTGCGTGCGCTCTCACGTGTGTCTGGTTTGTCCACAGCAGGATGGAGTAAAAGCAATTTGCAGATTTTAACAAAGAGGATGAGGATTACTGCGATGATGCGCCCTGCATGCACGACTTCCCGCTGTGCAGCTGCAAAATGTACATGTCCAGCGTAGTTTCTTGCGCCACCGAAGGCCTCATCGGCATCCACAGAACAACTCACTTCAGTTATTACTCATGAGCCACTCGTTGCCCATGATCGTGCTCACACAGATCTCTCACACACAATCGGAATTCATCGCTCTCGGTAAATACCTGCTATTTTAGGCAACAAGAATTGGCTCTGAATGCATTAGCAGTTATTGTTTTTCTTGTAATCACATTGAACTATTTTAGCCTATTTTTGTGTTTCAACCTATTTTTGTGCTGCTGTAGATGCAGCACTTTGTGATTCATGGTTTCATTTTAAAGATAAATGCACGTTCAGTTGTAGTAGCATCCCAGCTTCTGTGAATTTGGGATACAGTGTAAATACAGTGTACAAAGAGCTACACTGGTTCATCAGTCTGATGGATGCAAAGCAAAATGCACCTAATGTATTTAAAAAGAGCAAAACCCTTGCTGTGATCATTGGCTGCAGTTTATGGTGCCTTGTGGTAACATGGTACTTTTTTTATCTTAAGCCTTTTCTTACTTTTTTATGTCTGAAATTATGTTAGTAAACTAGAAAATGGATGAAAGAGCTGGTTGAAATATCCATTTTCATGGTCAGAAAGAGAATTGTGATATGATGAAGGCAGGCATGTGTGCAGCAGTGTTCGGGCTTGAAACTTTCTATCACTGTCACATCGGCCCGAGTGGAAGAGTGCAGACGTGTGCGATCACAGAAATCGGTCCTGACAGCAGAGCAACAAGAATCAGAAGTTATCAATTCCAGATGCAGCTGAACAAGCGCTCCATCCTCCATTCAGAGCGGGGTTTGCTTCTGACAGTGAACAGGTTATTTCACCTGCCTGGATTCTGACACGTTCACCCACTGATAATTTCACCTACTGTAATTGCTGAATATTGCACCCGGTTAAAGAGCAATGCTATAAATCGGAGAAATGAAACAGTATTTGCCATTTAAAGTAGTTCTTCCTAACCTTTGATCCACAACCTGTATAATGAAAAGCAAATATCACAGCGGCAACATTTTTTTTGGGTTGTTGTTACTCCGCAGAGGGTCAGTGTTCCTTTGGACATGCACAAAAGTGCTGGTGTGCTTTGTGGAATCGGAAAAGAGTAAATTAACTCTTCAAAGAGATGATCTTGTCCTCTCCGCAAAAAGCTGACTGATGCATTGCAATGGACACATTCACCCTCCACAACATTGCCAGCAATCAGATGTTGTCGGACCATCATCGTTTAAAAACGGAGGACGCAGTACAAATGTCTTTACTCATGTCTATGAGGCACACTTTTGGATAGCAAAGGCCACATTTTGAGGACGTTTTCCCAGCAAGTAATTCTTAACTGTCAGAAGGAACACAATGGTACACATAAAAACACACAAATATTGTCATGTTAGGTCATGTGTTTCAAACTTTAACTTTAACTTTAACACATTCACACATGGTGAGAGGTGCTCAGATGGAGACACAGAGAACAGCAGAGCGGGAGGAGATGAGCATTAAAACCCTCATTTTGTCAGTATCAACAAAAATTTCAAATAGCATAATGAAAATGAACCAGAAAACACAAACACACCACTATTTGGTCATTAGCCTTTTTTTATAGGGAATATACCTGTATGACAAAATTAAGGACTTTCAAAGAGAAATAAGTGATAAGTATGTCCATCAACTGCATGTCTAAGATCACTATTTAACATTTTTGGGTAATGCACTTGTTTCTTCTTTGTTGCTTGACACAACCCAGTTAGCTCGTCGTAGCTTAAAGACTCAAAACAGAGGGGAACAGCTGAAGCTTAGCTCGCTGGCTTCGGGCTGTAGTCTCCTGCTTAGTGCATGGATTTGAGAGTGGAGTCAGTCTTCCTAAGTAACTTCCAACAGTAAGACAAAAAGTCATCCTTCTCAGCATGTAAAGCTGTCAGTGAAGGACTCCATGTGCGCTTTGTTTTGAAAGTGGGTTCATTGTGCTTTTTTTTTTTTTTTAGTGCATCACAACTTGGGGCTGACCCTCCTCAGTATATTTTTGTGCAATGAAGATTTTCATTTAATATGCCTCATCAAAGCTGCACCAGTATTAAAACCCTATATTCTGTGTTTGTAATGTCAAATTACAGGTATTCCTCATATTATGATAATATTCCAAAGAGAGAGATACGATTTCTTTTCACTTGATTGTTTGTGTGGCATCGATTACCACCAGCTCTAACATTTAGAAATGAGTGGCCTCACTGGCAGGTAATTGTGCCAAGCTCACTTCATTCAGTTTCACATTAAGCCTGGTCGTATACTCTTTTGACTGGTCGGAATCTTGTGTTGGACTCTATGCGCGCGAGTAAACGAGTCTGCAGACGTAAAAGGTAAATTTGCTGTCAGAGGGTTTAAGAGGTGGATATTTTTAAGTGCTTCGGAGCGGGCACAGCAGGGGGTCAAATGCTTTAAGTGTTGTTTGAACAGACTGGAATTTAGCCTGCTGTGGCAGTCCCATCACTCTCTACTTCTACCCCCAAGCCCCCCAACTCCCCTTCCATGCAGGGAAGAGTGGGCTGTAATCACTAAATTACTGCTTTCTCCAGTCACCACACTGCACTGCTCCCTCACAGCTCTCTTGCTGTCTTGCTCTGACTCTCTTTGCCCTATTTTATTCTTTCAGCTCCCCCCCCCCCCTCCCTCTGGCTCTCACGTTGGTCTCCTTCCACCCAGTCTTCATTATTTATGCCAAAGTCATCTTACTGTAAGCTGCCTTCATGTGAGGAAGACAGTGGAAGGTGAAAGAGAGGATGAAAGAGTTGAGGCCTCGGGACAGAGGTGGTGAGGGGCAGGACAGAGAGAGAACGGAAAGTTTGGAATGTGAAATGAATTTGATTAATGCGCCGCTGATGAAATGATGAAGCGGCGCGCTCCTTAATGCGAACGCTGCCTTCCTCATTTTTATTCTGGCGTCCTTTTATTTATTCATTCTGTCCACATGCTGTCTGTAAAATGTTTTAAAGTCCTCAGGCATACCGTGAGCACTCTGGGTGAAAATTGACGGCATGCGCTTAGCATTTGAAGCGTCTCCAAACGTATGGGGAAAAAAAGGAAACGTTTGTTTTTAAGTCTGACTCTCAGAGAACTTTGTGACAAATACATATGTGTCCTTGAATCAAGCAACGGTTTGAGGAGATTTAAACTTTCCTATCATCTTCTTTGTTGTAGCTCTGGATGAAGAGAGGGCTGATAAGTTAGGGGGGGGGCAGCAAAGGGGTTGTCATGGGAACAGACAGGGAGAAACTTGAGTGAGGGAAGGAGGATCGAGACAAAGTGACAGAAAAGTGAAACGATTGAACACAGGCTGCGCAGTTACGGAGATATAAACTAAGACGGTACACAAATAACTGTGCCACATCCCGGCTACACTTGCAGAGAGGCGGTCGTAAAACGGTTCCATTAGGTTGTAAAATGGATTCAAATGCGAGCCTGTTTGTTTATCTGTGAAGCAGGAGAAAGATGAAAAGCTCAGATTCGGCAAGTGGTACACCGAGATCCCTCATCGTCCTTCTACTCTGGGTTAGCTCAATTAAAAGGGTGATTTTCTCTTTCTTTCTGTTTTCCAACTTCAGCCGGTCCCCACCAGCCCCACCAGCACTTCCCCTACACCCAGTGGAACTCTGGGCATGTCCAAAATGGACGGCCCGAGCATGCAGGACGTCTACATCCTCTCTCCTGTCTCTGGACTCTATAGCACCAGGTCAGACCCGCGCTCTGAGGTTTTGATGATGACCATTAAGTTGATTTCTGTGACGCTGCCGATGACAGTGGCGACGGCCCTGATGACATCCACGATGACAGCTCTGCTCTCCGCTCTCCGCAGGGAGGAGATGGGTCTAATGTCATGTGACGACATCAGCCGCTACAGTGTGAGCTCCCAGTCGGGCTCCAAAGGTTCAGAGGCGGTCAGCTACTACCTGGACCAGGACAGCGGTCAGTACTTCTCTCTGCTGGAGGGAGACGGGCCGCCGGGTCCTGACTATGACAGGGGCCGCAACACGGGGGTGCGGCGGCGGGACAAGACCCCAACGCATGGTAAGACGCACAGTAAAGAGCAGATGCTCTGAACGGGGCAGGAATGGCTCCGGCCTGGAGTCAAGCCGAGCTGCATGTTCACTCCCACCACTTCTGTCTCTTCTTTTCACCGCTTTCTCAAAACTCCTCCTCACGTGTTTGCGCATCACTTGCTTCATGGCTCTGCTTTATCCTTATCGCGCATACACACGTCCCCAAACACAAGCCAATTCACATGCTGAACCAAAGTCCAAACACCCTCCAGCTCCCTGTCTGCCCCCACCACCTGTGTGTCGTCCCTTTCCAAGACAGCTCCCAGAGCTTCTTTTTGTCAGTCTATCAGGGGACTGCGGTGCCATATGATGTACAAGACGAGGGTCACGGAACTGACCATCCAACCTCCTTATAGCCTTCATAAATATACGTGCTGGCATAATTAGCAGCCGATCCCTGATGAGCAATCCCGATGCCAGGAAAAAGACGGCCAACTGTGACCAGAATGCTGTCTGTTTAAAATCCGATATGGTCACTGTGAATGGATAACTAGGAAACATGTTAATTTCTGCAGTGAGTTTGGTCATTCTAAGCAGTACTTGATTACTTTTGGATACACCCTTCCGTCCACCATTTGAGGCACTCCGATGTTAGCCCTCCCGCGTGGATTCCCATCATTTTATCCCCAGAGATTCCTTCCATTTTGGTCCACTAATCAACAAAAATTTGTGCCAGTGGTTGCAGCCAAGAATTTGTCAGTAATAAAACAGCCGGCTGTACACCCAGAGCCTAGTGTATCTGATATGTAGGATGATCTCGGCTGGTCACAAACAAAGATGTAAGCGTGCTTAGGAGGCTGCCTTGGTTTCAGGGCAGCTTTGGCGCTCCGCTTGCAAGTCAAGGTGGTTTCTCCGGAGTGCTCCCCTACCTGCACACGCTGTCTCCCTGTATTACCTTGTCAACCCCTCCAGCTGTGTCCCACGCTGTCTCTCAGTCACCCCCCCCCCCCCCCAAAGCCGACTCTCTGATTGGTGATTGGTGCTTCCAGGTGACCTCAGACCCGTTTCCATGCCTCCCGAATATAACTGGATGGCCGAGGCCAAGGAACCCAGCATGGGCAAGAGGGGGAGCCGAGGTACACACACACACAAACATGCACTCGCAAGCAAATACACGCGAAAACCTTTGCACACGTGGAAGCGCAGACCTCAACGTCCTGAAGGCATTCGGGACGAACCCGATGCCGTGCTTTGCTCCATACTCACCTCAAAGCATCTCAGCTCATCCTCTGGTTATCCATGGTGGTGTGGTTGTATGAGGATACATATCCCGCCGGGTATGCATCTGACCCAACAACAAACAGACATAAATGCGAGGTAACTGCATTTGTACAGCTGCTCTGGACACGAGAGTGTGACAGCTTCTAACCAGCCTCACCGTTTTGCAGTGAGCCACGATCTGCATTCGACTGAGGAGCCTTGTCTGACTCATCCCAAATTCTATGAATTATATTACAGCCCCGTTCTAATTTATTAGGTCCACTGTTTTCCTCTCCCTCCACTTTTCTCCCAATCTCCATTTCACTTTTAGGTTTGTTCGTTTTTTTTTCATGTCAGGGCAATAAACAAGTTAGTTTGGAAAGCTTTATCTATCTATGTGGAACCAAGCTAGAATACAATTTGAATGTCTGTGACAGACAAGATTTAGCAGTTGTGCCCTCCAAATCAACATAATCAGTTCAAACAGATTATAGCTTTATGTCCCAAGCTGTGATCCGCATCAGATCCTCCAGCTCTGAGGCCCTATTATCCTTTTTCTGTTGGCTTTTTATCTGCGAGTGTCTGTTCAACCTAAGCCGTTTCTACTTCAGGGTTCTCCCTTGACTCCATGACACTATCCTCTCCCCTCTGAGGTTTTCCCTCACTGTTATCCGTTTTACTCGGCCTGTCCAGCCACTGATGACCGCGCTTCCCCTCTCTCTTCTCCTCTCCCACAGACTCAGACAACTCCCTGCTGCGATATCTTAGCGATGACAAGATCCTGGTGATCGAGGAGGAGCCCGAGGGTCCGGGCAGGGAGAGCCGGCGCGATTCCACCAGACGGTCTCGGCGCAAGAGCCGTAATCCCAGCAGCCCCAGCTTTCCCATCAGCCCTTCCATGCTGTCCTCCACGCTGCGTCTTGATCAGCCACCCGAACCTTTGCCTGTACGTGCAGATATTTTAAGATTAGATTGTTACCCTTTCAACGCAGTTCAGAGTCTCATCTGATTCTCACCATTTTGCTTGTTGTAAACAAGGTATCCTTCAGTAGTTTGCATATACCGTTTGTCTAAATAGTAATGGGTACAGTAGCCTTACTTTGCCAATAACTGGACTGGACAAAGATTCTGTTACTGGAGGGCCACACTTGACCAGGTTATAAAAAGATACAGACAACCCAGGAGGCTTACATCTACATTTACACTTACAGCCAACTGAGAATGACCATCCCACATTAACGTTAGTGCTTTTGGACAGTGGGAGGAATCCAAGACAAATGAAAAAGAGCTTCCTATGCTTCGAGCATAACATCCATCGAATCATTTTCTGCCACTAATCTGGGGCATGGGAAACACTTAAGTCCCAGAGACCTCCCTGAAAGTGTGAGCGCTTCTATGATTAAATGCGAAACGGGATTCTGGGATATTTATCATAACGAAGAACACACAAACAGAAAGGCTCCCTTTGAAACCATTAAAAAACACCAATACACATGTAGATCTTGCAGGTTTTATGAGCACTGATGAATTCGGTCAATCTCAGAGCATGGAGTTGCAGATTCGGATGCAAAAAAAACTTTTTGTAGATATAATAACAAACTGTGTTGAGGGCAGACATTTTGTCCTTTTTGAAGGGAACTGTCCATGGCTCTAGGACAGGTTATGATGTTGACAGATTCCCACACATACTATTGATTGTATATGTGCATGTACGTCAGGTAGAGGAGAATCAGGACGATAAGTGTTATTGTAAGGCTGCCAGCATCTCAGATGATGAGAAGGACACTGACACTGAGGCACACCTCTTTGTTCCCTTTACCTATTCTCTCTCTCTCTCTATGTCTCTCTCGCATATAGACTTGCACACAGGAGAGCATTTGTATGCAGAGTAGCCATCTCACAACTCATCCTAACGCACCTGAGTCTAAATAGGAGTTTATCCTGAACAAACACACACATTTGCAAACACACGCGCGAACACACACATGCATCCAGATGCACGTATCCCTGTGAGTAGATGTATGACTCAGCACCAGCTAGACCAATTACAAGCGCGACTGACAGACTGTGCTTAAAATCACGCAGCAAGCAAACACACACACACACATACAGACACACACACACACACAGTCATGTGCGGAGCACTAACAGCTTAGCTCACACCAACCCTCTCAGCTGCGTGTTTCTTGTGGGGGTGACTCATATCTGTTTGGCAGTGCATGAATTGGATTATTCTTCACTAACTAGCATATGCTGACCTTGACAACCTGCTCGTTTCCTCTTTGTTGTTTTGTCTGGGTTTGTTTTTTTTTTCTTTCCGTCAGTGTGATGGAGCGAGGCCATTTTGGAAATGTGAGGTTTCACAGCTCTTTTAAAAAAAAAACATGTTTCACCTGATTGTAAAGCAGCACCCGTCCACAAACAACCCAATAAAGTGCACCAGGACCATAAAATGCACAACGCTCGTGGTTGTTATAAAGCAACACTCAGCATAGCTTGTTTTGTATAATTCCAGTTAAAGCGTGTGTAAAAAGTGTGGATGGATTATGAGATAATGGTCCCCTGGACAAAGTGACCAGGCCTCCTCACTTTTAATAAAGAATGATCATCCCTTCATACTGGGGCTTAGGATGCCCCAGTCTCTTGTGTGCTCATACCTGTACGCATAGAGTCCCTTTTTCTTTATCTAAGAATACTAATTTATATGCACAATTAAGAAAAATAAGAATGCACATCACTGCAAATGAAGAACAGCTCAAACCAACACAGGGAACTGCGCTGAAAGGATTATTTTAGGGTTAGATTAAATTTGTGGTGGTAGTCAACAATTCTTGTACCACCAAGCATAAGTAAATTATAGTAATCAGGAAATCAAGCCTGTAATCAGCCCCAAACAGTCTGCCAGTAATGAAGCTGTTTTTTTTGTGGGTTTTTTTGTGGAGTTCTTGGGGTTGTGAGACTACTGAAAAAACACCAGGGTTTTCCAAGCAGATCCTTTGAATTCTATCTTTAATTGATCATAGTGAATCTGATGTATTCAACGTAAAAACTAAGACACCCGGTTTTCTTTTATGAATATTTTTTTATTCTAGGTTGTTTTTTTTTCCAATCCTCTTTTCCAGCAGTCTGTGTTTACTGAGGGGATCTATAGTTAGAGTTTGAAAAGTAGGGGTTTTTATATCTTTGTTTGTTATAGGATTTGGCCCGCTAAACAGTGCAGCGTACCTTTTTGTGTTCAGTTTTACAGAATGTTACGGCTGTTTTTCAGTGGTTTCAGATTTGGACTGCAGGCCAGACCCAGATTCTTTCACAACGCAACTGCTTTTGTAAAATATGCAAATCATAATTTAGCTCCTTCTAGCTGAAATAAGCACAACTTTCCCTGGCAGCATATGTTACTGTTAAACTCACATGTATTAAGAAGTATTAAGGGTGTCTTAACAGAGCGCATATTTCCTGCCCCCAAACAACTACTGATGCTGACTCCTAAACTGCACTCTGAGATGATCCTGATAAGAAAAAGCAATTATTTGCTTATTACATGCTTTGGCGTTTCCAGAATTTGTCATGTAGAAAAGTAAATGATTACAATGTCTGTTGATATATTCCTTTAGGATGTGGTAGTAATAGTAAAACAACTTAGTAATATTTTATTGAAAAAGAGTGGGAGGCATTACACCTTATTACAAATTCCAGCAACTTCACATATATACGCCTACCATGCCCAAATATTGGAAAACATGTTCAGTTAAAGAACTGGTTATCACTCAATTATGAGGTGCATCAAGACTGGCCATCAGCCAATCTGTAGGTGAGTGGCTCAGATCTCAGACCTCATGTCAGGGTGTTCTCAGGCAAAACACAAATGCTCACTGCTTAGCCTGGAACAGTGTGCTGGCTAAGAAAGGCTATAAGCATGTTTATGTTTGTGAAAGAGCTTTGAGTCATCAACGGCACTATGAAAAATTTATTCTATGGATGGCACAGATATAAATGAATGTTTTCTATTTTGCGGTATCAGGATAGTCACAACATCAGTTTGGGGGAAAAAAAAGTGTTTGATAAAATTGTGTGGTTTTATTTATTCATAGAGTTCATAGCAACATTGAAAATCATTTGAAAATGAGAAAAACAACAAAACATGCTTATTTATACACTCTTTCTGTGAAAACTATAAACTTTTGGCTCATTCGTAGATTCAAATTTGCACACAACCCCACCCACACATATGTACATGCAAAGTTAAATGATAATGTCCAACAAAGTTCAAGAAGTGTGTTTGTTCGGAGTCATGGGAAACTATTTAATGACCCCTCTGTCCTTCTCTGTCTGTTAGCGAGGTGCAGACACACTGAGGGCAGACACAACAGACAGGTGAGTTTGTGCTCGCTCAGAACTTGAACACTTTCTTGTGATCACTACAGTTAGATGTCAGCAGTTTGGTTGTAATAAATCCATCTTTCTGCAGGTACTCAGGCTCAGGGAGCTCAGGAGCTGCCTCCATGAGAAAGGTAGGAGAAGTCAGTGTGACAGTTTTTATACATAAATCGGTACCCGGTAGCTGTTACAGCATTAAATCATACTGCATCTGTTGTGTTTTCTGATTCCGTTTCAACCTCCATTTAATGAAGAAGCACAGATTTCACTCACTTCAACAATCTCCTAGCAACGAAACCCCGTGCATTATCGACTCTGTATAAATAATAGCTGAAGATACTGACAGGCAGGAACAGCCGAGATTTCTGAGAGAGAGCGAATCTGTTCAGGGCTGTAATAACTAAATGAAAGCTAACAGCCGAATGTGGCAAACTGGTTTCCAAGCTTGTGCTATTGTGACACAGCGGTAGTCTTAGTCATTGTCCCCAACCGCTTCTCCAAAGCACTCTGAATTTGAACAAACAGTGACTCAGCTCGGCTGACAGTAAACAGGCACCGAAATAGATAACTGGCAGGCATATTTAGCAAACGGTGGTGCTCCAAAAGCTATTAAAAGGACTTCACAGAATAATGAGACAATATGCCAACTTATTTGGTCTAATGCCTGGCAAAATATGCCACCAATCGTTAACTAACTTTAAATATTGCTGTGTGGCAGACTTTAGATAAAATAAGACTTCAATAATCCGGATGAAACGAGGACAGACTTTGCACTCATGAATTATGCACTTATGATTCGCTGCATTACACGTTGCCCATAAACCATACCCTGTGAGTGTCATTGGTGGCCTCAGCTGTTATCAAAAGCCATTCCTTTAGCTGGGCAAAAAAAAGGACCCAGAGGATACAGTCAAAAAATAGAATGACAGTCTAAAAACAGATATCTTTGGTGTGAAAAGCTCTAAATAATGTTTGAGCTGAGAAAACCCACACGCAGTGGCAAACTCAGAACCTTGAGAACATTGGCTGCTTTCAGACGGAGGGGTAGCTTTTCAGTAGTTATTCTAATTTATCTGACTTCAAAGAATAATGGCCAGATGCCGGAGTAACTACAGGCCACACCAGAAGATTCAAAACACTGGCAGTTCCCTTTAGGCACAGTCACCACCTTTTAGCTGATGGTCACCAGATGGACGTGAAATTGGGCCAAAGTGGACTGATTCTATCAGAGATGCTATTTCGAACAGGACAATGAAATTTTGATGATTTGGGTTCTTGATAGAGATGGAAAGCTCTACATTAGGTGCAGATTTCTAAATGAGCAGGGTTGAGGTATTTGTGTTTCAGTGGGAACATTCTCACCTCACAGATGAGGTGTTTTTAGTATTCCTGTGCCTACAATCCTCTCTGCCCAGCTAAATAAGAAAGTTTGATAAACATGGAGAGTGAAATGGCCACTCCTCTATATTCCTTGGTTTAGCATGTCTCTCTCATGATGGATTTCACTAATGTCTTTTTCTTTCTGCTTTCTAGTCTTTCCATTACACCTCTCTAAGAACAAAAACCAAAAAGAGAAGTAAAGGTAGGCACTCTTTTGTGTTTTCTTCTACTCCTGTCGTGTAGGAACATCCCGGGAGCTCATCCCAACATATGTAATGCTACTCTGTTTGCATCGATCATTAAGAATTTAATGCAGAACATGTAATAGCTCGTTAATGCAGTTTGTAGACCTGGATCAAGTATTTGAACTTGCATCTTTGCATCATACCACTATCATTCATCCATTTTCTACACCGCTCATTCCCAGCAGGCAACAGGCGGGGCACACCCTGGACAGGTCACCTGTCCATCACAGGGCCACGCAGAGACAAACAACCACACACACTCACAATCACTCCTGGGGGCAATTTTAGAGTGTCTGATTGACCTAACATGCATGTTTTTGGGATGAAGCTGAAATACCCAGAGAGAACCCACGCCGACACAGTGACAACGTACAAACTCCACAAAGAAAGATACGGGTCTCGGACTCGGACCAGGAACCCTCTCACTGTGAGGCAACGATGCTAACCACCACACATCACATCATGTCAATGCTTCTCCACTTATCTCATCAACCCAGAAAGTCCCCAGCTTGAAATTAGTCTTTACCACAGTTTGGACATGTGGCCAAAAAACATTTGTGATGTATTATTTTGAGATTGGGCTATACATGGACTTTTCTGTGTGGAGTTTGCATGTTCTATCCGGGTTCTCCAGCTTCTACCCAAAAAACATGCATGTTATGTCAATTGGACACTCTAAATTGCCCCCAGGAGTGAGTGTGAGTGTGTGTGGGTGTCTCAAATGTCCCTTAGCAGTGAGTGTGAGTGTGTGTGGTTGTTCGCCTTTGTGTGTCTATATGTGTGGCCCTGTGATGGACTGTCGGACCGTCAAGGGTTTGCTCCACCTCTCGACTACTGGGATACAGTCCCCCCGGGACCCCATTTGGGAATAAGTGGTAACGATAATGGATGGATGGATGGATGGATGGATGGATGGATGGATGGATGGATG